GTCAAGATTTGATCTCGAACAGATCCGTAATCTTTGTGGAGTCCTTGAAGGATAAACACCATAAACATATTATCAAGTTTGTTTAATATTTGTTGAGGATCATCACTAACCAACATTAGCTTGAGCTCATCAATAGTGGATTGAGCACGATTCAAATACGTTGGCAAATCATTATCAACCATACGAAGAGTTGCCAGACCATGAACAGACTCGTATATTCTTTGGATATCATTGGCATAGACATTTCGAGCCTTCTTCCAAATATCATAGCATGTCTTGTACGGACGAAAATGCACCATTAATTTAGGCTCAATGGACTGCCACAATAGAGATACAAGTTGATAATCTGCCCGTTGCCATTCATCTCTCACCTCTTTATCAACTTCAGACGCCCTTTTAGTAAGATGATCATAGAGACCCTGACCTAAAAACCACATTTCAACCGCAGTGGACCAATCCAAATAATTTTTACCATTAAGCTTTTCAGATGTAATAGTAGGTGATCCAGAAAAGGCAAAGGAGACCAGCCCCCTTTTGGAAGATTCAATTTTTGGATTCTCCTTGGGAATCTCTGCCATGAAGAGAAAAAGAAGAAAAACAGTAAACAATCAACCACGAAACTCCGAGGTAGCAACCAATCAACCACGGAACTCCGAGGTAGCAACCAAACCACCATGGAACCCCGAGACAACAACCAAACAGCCATGGAACTCCGAGACAACAACCAAACAACCACGGAACTTCGAGGCAGCAACCAAACGACCACGAAACTCTGAGGCCGCAACCAAATGACCACCAACAGACCACCTAGAGTGTGACCCACAACTTGAAAAGGGTCAAAATGAGAAGAGGGAGGGCCAGCGAGTCCAACGGAGTGAACCGTGTCGCAAACGGAGGCTAGGAGGGTGGCGCGTGAAGCTCACGCGTCGACGAGCTTCCTCAACAAGAATCGCGCGTGAGAGCGCGTGAGACGGCGGCTGACGGTTGCTCGCGACGGAGAGGCCGATCGGCGACCTCTAAGTGTGTAGGCGGTGTCAACTCTGGCAACCGCGGACAAAACTCGAAAACCCTAGAAACCCTAGATGTTAGATGTTGGCGGCTGGATTAGGGTTCCTGGACCAGAGTGCTCTGGTACCAACTTGAATATGAATAATTTCTTATTATTGAATCTGAATGGGTACAATAAAATAAATAGGCATAAAACATAATCAATCCCTAAAGTTTAGGGATTTAGATAAAACTGACTAAGGAAACTAAACTAGAAATTAGAAGATAAACTAGTATATTTAAACTATATCTTATAGAATTATCTTAACAAAGGCAATCAACATCACCACTACGCCCAACTTTAATAACATAGATCCATCTATCGACAATTTTCTTCCTAAGGGGAAGAGGAACAAGCTCCCACGTGCCATTGTTTGCTAGTGCCTGCATTTCAACAATCATGGCTTGTAACCATCTAGGATGATCAAGTGCCTCATTGATATTTTTAGAAAAGATAATAGAGGACAAAGAGGAAACAAAAGAGAAGTATGAAGGAGACAATCAATTACAACTCAAAAAATTATAAACAAGATGAGGATTATGAGTAGATTGAATACCTTTCCTAATAGCAACGGGCCAACTTGAATTGGATTTATGAGAAGGTAATGAGGATGAAGGATCCCTTGTAGTGAGGTCTATTGGAGTAGGATTTGAATCACAAGAGTCTTTAGGCAATGTGGAATTAGCTCTTTGTGTCGAGGTGGTGGAGCAACTTTAGCTAATCTATGTGTGGGAGATTGAGGCTGATTTCCACCTTGGTTGGAGCTAGATGGAGCTTGGAATCTTCATGGGATTGAAGGATGGAATAGGAAGAACTTGTTAAATGAAAATAGGATTTTCCATGGAGGATGAGGAAAAATGTGCCTTCAAAGAAGATAACATCAACAAACATATAATACTTTTTGGTAGTTGGGGAATAACATGTGTATCCTCATTGGAGGCAAGAATATCCCAAAAAAACATATTTAATAGATTTTGCAGAAAGTTTGCCTAGATCTAGAGAGACATTATGTGCAAAACAAGTACAACTAAACATCTGAGGAGAGACATGAAATAATAGGTCATTTGGAAAAATAACTGAGTTAAGATTTTGATTTTCAACAGAGGAGAGGGCATCGTATTTATTAAAATAAACAGGTAGTAAGGAGTGCATCTCCCCTAATGTACTAGAACATTTGTATTTAGCATTAGCGAGTGTTCAATTTCAATGATTTAGCATTAGCGAGTGTTCAATTTCAATGAGATGTTGATACTTCCTCTCTGCTATGCCATTTTGTTGTGGTGTGCGAGGACATGTGGATATTGATGTAAAATGTCTTTTGAGGATTAATAGAAAGAAGTTCAACTGAGAAATATTCTTTGGCTTTTTCACTTCTAAAGATTTTAATTATCTTCCCAAATTGATTCTTAATCTCATGGATAAAAGTTCAGATCTATCTTTTATTGAATAAACCTAAGTACATTGAGAGAATTCATCAATGAAGGTTACAAAATATTTAAAACCAAAAGATTGTTTAGGGAATGATGACCTAACAAGTTTGCCAAATTGCCTAGATTCACATTCGAAAAGTTGAAGTTGCTTGAGAATACGAATCATTATCTTCAATTTTGTCAAACTTGGGTGATCCAAATGGTCATGCAAAAGCTTTGGTGTTGAAGTTGCAAAGCAAGATATAGGCAAGTGGGTTTCTAGGTAATAGAGACCTCGTAATTTATGTCTTTTGCCGATCAGATGACTCGAACCACATTCCTGTATGACAAAGCAATCAACATCAAATGTCATTGAACAATTTAATGAATAGAGATTAAGTTATACGGATATTGGAGAATGAACAAAACATAATTTAAATTTAAAGAAGGAAACGAAGGAACTTGACGAATTCCTTGAGATGCAACTTTGGATCCATTGGCTATAGTAACAAGATGAGGAAATTTTATTGAAGAAATGAATGAGAAAAATGAATTATTACCATGTGGCCAAAGGAACCTGAGTCAAGTATCCATGGATCATGACCTTTCACAGATTGGGAAATACATGTTGAAACATTTGGCACCGAAGATGATTGGGTTGGCTGTTGGATTTAGGCCTCAGATAGTCCGGATACTCCTTAGTAGAAAATTTGAAATCTAATGGATTTAGACACATGGATTGCGTTGTCAAGAAAGCATGCAAGGAGTAGCAAGTTTCTTGGGTATGACTCATTCTCTTGTATTATGTTCATTGAGGATGTCCACTTCTACCATTGTGTCCTCCTCAGTTGCTATGGCCTCCTCTCCCATGAGGTGCTATCATTGTTGAAGTTTCAATAGCTTTGCCTGAATTTCCATCTTTCTAAGGTAGGCACATAAAGAAGTCTAGTGACTAAGTTGTCCATTGAAGGGGTTTGATCACCCGCTAGAATTTGATCACGCACATGATCAAAATCTAAATGTAAACTTCTCAAATTTAGAACCATATTATCAAGTTATTTAATAATGTCCTCATTAGTCAACCACAAAGAATTTTTTAGTTCTTCTATTACAGGCCGAGCTTTAGCCACATCTGAAACCATATCATGGTTAGTCGGTTTAAGGGGAGCTACTCTTTAGGTTGTATCAAACAGATGTTAAATGTCATTAGCAAAAATATCATGGGCCTTCTTTCAAAATGAACATGTCTTCAATGATCTGATTATCTCTAAAACATCAGAGTTTTCTTATTGCTATAGAACAAGAGATAGTTGGAAGTTAAGTTTCTGCCACTAAGATTTATTTTTGATCGGAATAGCACTTGCTTCCTTCTCCAAATAGTCATGGTATCCTTGACCAAGGAACCACAACTCAACTGAGGCAAACTGGGACAAGTAGTTTTTTGCAGTTGAGTTTCTCAGTGGTAATGGTAGGAGTACTAGAAAATGGGGAAATAGGACTTGTGCAAACCATTTCAAGGACAAGGATGAAGCTGTTTTAAAAGACCCATAACTGCAAGCAAGTCGAAACTAAGAACCAAGGGTAGGAAAGAGCCCAAAAGGAGTTGATGAAGTTATTGGAAGTGGTCCAATGAGATTCCGACAAGCAGAGGGTGGTGCGTGAGCTGGATGTGCTATACATAGTTCTGAAGAAGATCCACGAGTGAGTGAGCATGCTTGAGTTTTAGGCCACACAACTTCTTTGGTTGAGTTGCCCTCCTCGAGGCGCACCTAACCCTGAGTTTGTTGGAGAAAAAGGGGGTAACCAGCAGTGGCAGACATAAGTGCATGTGGCAGACATAAGTGCATGTGGCAGACAGGCGATGAAAAAGACTGAGGGGGATCTTACATTCTTACCTACTCTAATACCATCTTGAGATTTAAAATATGACAAAATTAGATAGTGTATCTCAATTGTTGTATTTTATTTTTTATATATACATGTAATAAGAGAGGTCAAAATAAGTAGAATCAAAGAAAAAGGCTACAACCTTTGACTTTTAACCTTTAAGCTAGATATGGCCAAAAAGCAGCTTCATAAAGCTGCACAAAGATAATAAACAACTATTTTTTTAACAATGACGTTAGTTATTGTATAATGAAGTTTTACTCTCTAAACAAAATTTTTGCAGGCAAAACTGGTCATCACTAAACTATTGCTAAATTAATCCTTTGAAACTAAATTGGTATTTGCATTTTTTTTATTTAGTAATTAACTATTGTTGCAGTCAACACTATTTTTTCATCTTTAAATTTCTTTGAACGTGTTAGCCTAATATTGTCAATCATCATAATGAGATTGTGGAGGTTGGAGAAATTGACTATGATGTTGATGTAGCATTCATTCTTTTCTTATTTTGTGTTTTAGATACTGATTTCTCTTTTGAAGTGTTTGAATTTTGCTTGATGTTCACTCAATATTTTGATTAGCATATGTTCTAAGAGCATGCGATGGTGCATAATATTTACCATGATTATATCTTTGGCATTTGTTTCTGGATGCAGTCCTTGATTTCCAAAGCCCATGCTGATGTGAAAGAGTTGCGACAATCAATTCAGCTTTTAAAGGCTGAAGGCGAAAAGTTGGAGGTAAACTATTTATCATTTGCTATAGCAGTAGTTTTATAGAATTTGTCATTTGTTTTTCAGTTATTTCACACATTACCAGTTTCTATAGTATACATGTAAAAGACTAGAACACCATTGACATTCACATGGTATCCATTGCTCCAGTCAAACAACTAGAAAAAGCAAATAAAAAAATTGTTTACAAACTGGTTGAATAATCCTCGATCCATAGACTGCACTCAGATGTGTCAAAATGAATTAGTGATGCATGATGTATTGCTGAACATTGTATATTCATAAACATAGTAGGCTACAAATTTTATATTTTATCAAAAGATATAGAATTTGGCAGCATGGTAGTTTCCCTAGGAAGCCCAGACACAATGCAATATGGGTACAATATGGATATGGGGATCAATTCCCCATAATATGATACATGATACGACCATTTTAGGGTTCAATTCTCTCAACCACCACAATTGGTGAAAATGAAGAAAAAGATAATAGGTCACAATGAAAGGCCTAAGAGGAAGAGAACTCTCCACATGCACACTAAGTGCTCCAATATGGTGTTAAGCGCCCTACTCAATGGTGCCCTATGCACCTATGCTCTAAGTGCCTAAGATGGTGCTAAACGCCCTACAAGTGGTGGCTCTGCCACATGCTTGCTAAGCACCCACACATTGTGCTAAGTGCACCCATCAAGTGTTCATGTAATTGCTTAGTCCTTGCCCTAGTCAAAGGTCCCTCCATCATTTGTAGAACTTCCACAAGCCCTTGCATTTCTTGTTCCCTAGTCTTCACCTCTAGTTGTCCTCTATCAACTTGTGTAACTGTCAAGGTTGTTAAAATCGAGATTTTACCTAAGATTGAGAGGGGGAAGAAAACTCGTAACTCGAGGACCGTAACTTGGATTGTAAGATCCTACATTCTTAAAATATAAAATTATACTTGTATATGCACTTATGTATAAAAACAATATAAATTAAAAAAAATAACTCCTAAATCACAAATATTAAACAAACTTAATTAGATAACGGTAGCTTAAAAATCATAAAAAATAATAGTATAATAATATTATAATATAATTATCATATTTTTAAATTTATTTATCATAAGATAATTTATGTTATACATTTCCATAATGGAAATTAATGTTGGAAGGCTTTAATTTTAAGACTTAGGATTGGATGGTAATTAGTAGAAAATTGATTGAGAATTGAACATTGCGTTTCAACAAAAGAATGTACAACCTTGAAGTGGGAACAGAATCTCAATGGTGTCACTACAGTGTGGCGTTGCAAAGCCCAATGACATCACAACATCACAATTTAGTTACAGGATGTCTGGGGCAAGTCGTGATTGGGGGATATTGAGTGAGAGAGAGAGAGAGAGAAAAGAGAGACCAAGAATCGTAAAATGTGTAATTGACTTTCTTATTATGAGATAGTGGAGCAAACCACTTATTTATAGAACAAACTGTCATCATGATAGTTCTAAGAAACTAATCATGAGACCTATAACAAACTAACCAACCTGAGAGTTAGTTTTTAATTGCAATTCACTCACATAGGGAGAAGAGAATCAAAGCATGAAGAAGAGAAGAAATGGGATGCATGATAAATTTTAGGGTTCTTTATTTTATTGGGTGCAGCCTAATCATAAAAGACAAAGCCTTTTTTTTTTTTTTTTTTTGGCTTGGATTGGATTGTTGATCCCACGATTGGGCATGGAAGATCGTGATCCACAATGATTCTAGTTTGTTGCTATCCCAACAAGTTAGCATGAAGGACTCCTCACGAAATGTAAGATTGTGCAATTTGACGATGAAGATTGCGATCTTAATAACATTGGTAACTGGTGGGAGTATTTTTGGTGTCTTCAATGTGGGCTTTGTTTAGTTGTTCAAAAAGGTATAACAAAATGATGGTAGCAAAAGCTAATGCAATATTTTAAGGCACTCCCATCATTGGGAATATGGTTGGGTCTTTAATTTTTCCTACCGTGGGACCCTAGTGGGAGTTTTATGTTATTTAATGTATTGAACATTGGTAGGGAACTTGCTAATAAAGCATAAATTGAATGGAAACAAATAAATTTATTGTGTCCGCAAATACAAAGCGTTTTAAACAATCCTTCACCTTGGGGACAATGTGAATCTATAGGGAGAGAGTATTGATAGGTACACGTTGAGTAGTCTGGGAATGAGTTAGTTAATTGTTAGATTCAATTAGTTTCTAGTAGTTAGGGTGTTGATAAGAAATAAGGCACGTTACCTATAAATTGGAAGAAGGATTAAGAGAGTGGGGTATCATGTTAACTGAGCAGAGTTAGGAAGAAGGATTAAGAGAGTGGGGTATCATGTTAACTGAGCAGAGTTAGGGCCTTTGACATTGGGAGGTGTAGGCCCTTGATGCTTTGTGACTATATTGGAATCGTGGGAATTTCCCCCATTTTTGACCTAATATATATGATTCCTATCAAAACCTTTGACGATTACGTTGACGTGGTCTTTTGAGGATACTGCACCTTCAATCTCATTAAGAGCATCTTTGAGAGCTTGAATTTTGAGTAAATACTTTGATATTGATTGATCTTCAAGTGATGTTCCTTGAAGCTTTGTTTGAAGTTGTTTGGCCTTGGTGTTTGAATGAGAATGGAAATAGGCATGGATCCTTTCCTAGAGCTGCCATGAACTTTTGCATCTGATTAGTCGGATAAGCATTTATGTGACATTGACTATTGAAGCCATTAAAGCAATAATTGATCTTGCCACTCCTATGCAAATACTTGTTTCATACATGACCAACTTAATGGTCTTCAACTATGAGAAACTTAGGTGAAATCAGTTGATTGACTAGGGTATTGATGAAAACAACAACCATTGATGATCAATACTATCTGTTGGCAAAGAAACAAAACATTTAGTTTTAAAGGAGTTTTTAAGATAAAATTGTCAATGAACTACTTTAAAGCACTTATTTTGAGCCTTAACTTTAAGGTAGCTTTCAAGTCATAAAAAGGTTAGGTCAAACATAACATTAGTAACTAACATGTCATCTAGCTTAACTATCAACTAGCTCTTACTAACTCTTAGTGAGTTTAGGGCATGACTTAATCTCGCAAAATCGACTTGTTATACAAGGATATCCCAAGATTTATAAGGACTATATTGGCCGTATCTTTAGTCGATATGGGACCTTAACACACCCTTTCATGATTAGAATCAAACATTTGGAGTGTGGACAATGCAAGTGGCCTAATAACAACACGCCTTCGTGTCTAGGAATAGACATCTAGAGCATAGACAAATATTGGTGGCCTAATAATAGATCTAGAACTAACTTTGATATCTTATAATTTGGGCTTAAGCTTAACTTAATCCTATAAAATTAACTTGTAAGGTGAGGATTGTCCAAGTTTTATAAGGACTACATTGACCATATCTCTAGTCAATATGGGGCTAAATACAACCTTTCACATTCAACACAACAAAGATGTTAGAGGCTGCAATGAAGGCAGCCTAAAGAGGTTGCAATTAAGGTGGGTCAAGGTTGACACAATTAAGGCAACTTTCCAACACACCGCTTTTCACATAGGGCCATGAGCCTAAATCATTGTAATGTGGGTTTGATACCATCCTAAAATATGGCCCAATTGAATCTCACAACATTTTTGTATGGTGGTGGTTTCCTAAACCTTAGAAGAACTACATTTTCCATTTCTCTAATCGATTTGAGATCTTGTGATTTAGGAATTATGTGTCAATCTTCGACACATAACTCTTATTTGTAATGAAAAAATAAGGATTTACATGATATGATATGATATGATTAGATAAGATATGATTAATCCTAATAAATTTCCATAATATCTTAACACCCCCAAGCTGGAGCATATATATCATATGCACCAAGCGTGTTATAAATGTAATCAACTCGAGGCCTTTTAAGCAGCTTTGTGAACACATCTGCTAATTGGTCACTGGAGTGGACGAACTCAATTGTGATCTCTCCCATAGTAGCAATTGCAGTGCGTCGGAGCGGAGCGGCTCCGTGTCGCTTCAAAAAGTTTGTTGCAGAGCGCTTTGAAGGAGTGGTCGGAGCGGCCGCGAAAGCCGCGGAGCGTGGCGGCGCAATCGCGGGTGGGCGACGAAACTTTTTTTTTTTTTTGGCGGATCTCTGTCGATCTGTCTTCTTTGACAGCGGCGCTGTCTACTCCAACAGTGGCTTTGTCTTCGCCGATAGCGGCTTTGTCTTCTCTGACAGGGCTGTCTTCTCCGATGGTGGCTCTGTCTTCTCCAGCATCTACAGTCTTGTCTTCTTCTAAGAGGGAAGCAGTGGCTACGGCTGCTTGAGTCTCACGATTAGAAGATGGAAAAATAATTAGGGTTGGGCCAAATGGGCCAAGTTTTATTTTATTTTTTGATTTGATTAAGGGCCTTTTACTTCACTTTTTTTTTGTAAAAAAGTAACTTCTCTTTATTATTAATTATTATTATAATTCAGATAATATTTTAAGTAATAAAAAATTTAATATAAGACCTTAAATATTTTATTTTCTTAATTTTTTTTTATTTCCTTAAACATTTTGTTTTCTTAATTTTTTTAACTATTATAAATTTTTATTAGTAAAAATATTTAATGTATAAATTATGTTATGTTTCTATTTTTATATGTATATTATTAATTATTTATATTATACATTATTTAATATATATATAAATTTTAAAAAATAGAATAACGGTATCCCGTTATTTATTATTTAAGGGAGAGGAAGACTTTAATCTTGATGAGGAAGAAGATTAAACTATAATGTTTAATTTTTTACTTAGAGCTTTAGCACTTTGTTTTGAAGATATTTTATATTATGTATTGTTTGAGTACTATGAACTTTTAATTATTAAATTTAATGCATGAATTTAGAGTTATTTTTTGTTTTTTTAGCTTTTATATATATATATATATTATTAATTATTTAATATATAAATTAATATTAAAATAGCGGTTATCCCGCTCCGCATCATCCCTCTATCCCATTTTTAGGGTCGACTGCTCCGCTCCGCTATTCGGGATTGACTAGTATGATCTCTCCTGAGAGCACTTTCTCTCATACAAAATGACAGCCTATTTCCATGTGTTGAGTCTACTCATGGAAGATCGAATTGGAGGCAATTTGAAGAGCAGCTTAATTATCATAGATGAGTTTAGTTCCCAGAGTGTCTCCAATTTGGAATTGCTTGAGAAGTTGTCTCTAGTGACAACTCATAAACTCGTACGAGTTTACGAGTTTACAAGAGCTTACCTGTACAACTCGGAGGTAAACTCGTTTTTTAGTGAACTCGGAGCAATCTCGGTGAACTCGGGTAAACTCGTGTAAACTCGCGAGACTACCTCCGATATTAAGAGATCACCATTTTTTTTTCAATCCTCCGTGCGCCTCACCTCCTCTGCGCGACTCCTCCGCGCGCCTCACCTCCTTCGTACGACACCTCCGCGCACCTTCTCTCCTCTCCGCGCGACACCTCCGCGAGTCTCCTCTCCCCTCCGCGCGACTCCACCTTGAGCGCAACACCTGGTCCGCACGACTCCACCGCGAGCGGAACACCTGGTCTGCGCGAGTTGAGCGAAGACAAGAGATCAGACATGTCGATCCTCGATTCTAGAACCTTCTTCAGCTTCCGTGACAGACCCGGTGCTAGACCCGCCACCGTCGTTCCCATTCTCTTCTCTTCTTCTTCTCCGATCTCTATTTAGATGTTTGATCTAACTAGCTTCTAACTTCTTCGATTCTTGCAATTTTGTTCGTTAAACCCGGTTCGGGATGCACACCGGTCGTGTCTCGTGGGATCAGGTTTGATGGGCTAGTTTTGTATATTGGCCCCGAATTTAAGTGGGCTCATCAATGCTGTTTACACGGCCCATAATTTTTGCACTTTCACCCCTATTTTTTTCATACAGAAATATCCTTAATCTAAAAAAGTTTTCAACGTGTATTTATATTTATATTAATTACTAATATATCACATAGACAATTGACATAACATATTAATAATTGATGTAACACATTAATTATTATGTTTTATTTATTTATTTATTTATTTATTATTGAGTAATCTCTTACGAGTTTACGAGACGAGTTTACGATACGAGTTTACGGAGCCTCCACGAGATTACGTAAACTCTCGAGATTGACAACCTTGGTTGTAGCCATGTATTTTCACTTGCAGTTGTTGCCATTACACGATATTCTGCTTTCCCACTAGATCTAGCAATTGTATTTTGCTTCTTACTTCTCCATGAAATCAAGTTACTTCTAATCAAAACACAATAGTCAGAGGTAGACGTTCTACCAGATGGTGATCCTACCCAATCAACATAAGAGTAATAGACAATTTTGGAATTGCCTTTGTCCTCATATAGGAGTCCACAACCTGGCGCTTTCTTGATATAGTTGAGGATCCTCATGACTGTAGTCCAATGGCTATCACGAGGATCGTTGATAAATTGACTTACCACACTTACTGAGAATGTGATGTTTGGCTTGGTGACAATTAGATAATTGAGTCTGCTAATGAATCTACGATATCTTTTTGGGTCATCTAGTGACTCCCCTTGACCTAGAAGAAGCTCGACATTGGGGTCTATTGGAGTGTCACTAGGGCAGCAATCAACCATATCAAACTTAGTGAGAATGTCTAGAGCATATTTCTACTGGGAAATGGAAGTACCGAAAGTAGATTGAGCAACCTCGATCCCCAAAAAATATTTCAAAGGGCCAAGGTCTTTCATTTGAAATTGACGCTAGAGGTGAGATTTGAGGTGACAAATACCATCGGAGTCATCACCAATAATGACAATTTCATCAACATATACCACTAAATAAGTGCAACAACCAGATGAAGAGTGAAGAAAGAAAATAGAGTGGTCAACCTCTTTTAAGTCATACTGAACTCAATTAAGGCTAAGCTGAAGCGACCAAACTAGGTATGAGGAGATTGCTTTAGGCCATAAATAGAACGATGGAGGCGACATACAAGGTGAGAGTCATCAAAAGTAGTAAAGTCATGGGGTTGTCCATATAAACCTCTTCGTGCAATTAACCATTTAAATATACATTTTTAATATTCAACTGGTGTAACGGCCAATGACAAATGGCTGTCATAGCAAGAAACAAACAAACAAAAGATATCTTGGCTACAGGAGAGAAAGTATCCCTATAATCAAGGCCATAGATTTGAGTATAGCCCTTGACAACCGTGCTTTAAAGTGGTCAATACTGCCATCCGGTGCAACCTTCATTGTGTACACCCATTGAGAACCAACTATAAACTTGTTAGGTGGCAAAGGCACCAACTCTCATGTGCCACTAGTTTGTAAAACATCCATTTCATCCAACATTGCGTGTCTCCACCTAGAACCAATCATAGCTTCATTTGTAGAACTAGGAATACCAATAGAATCCGAAAGAGGGAACAAAAGAAAAATAGGAAGGAGATGATCGATGATAAGAAAGAGTACATGCATATAAAGGGTTAGGATTACGAGTAGATCGAATACCTTTGCAGATGAAAATGAAAAGCTCAGGTAAAGGAGGTTCAGGTGCAAGGAGTGTTGTCGAATGGCCGTTTGGAATAGGAGATGATGCTGGAGGATGTGTATGTGGAACCACATGTGGATGTCATGTCCTTCGCCAATAAACAAATAATTGTGGTGGATCAGCGACTACAACCGAAGTTGAAACATCAGATGAACATCCAGAAAAGGATGATTGTCATCATTCTTAAAGAAGAAAGGAAAGGGCTCAAAGAAAGAGACTTAGCTGAATCAAGGTACTGTTGAAGTTGTGGATAGAAGCAACGATATCCTTTTTGGAGACGAGAATATCCAAGAAAGGCACACTTAAGGGACCATGCAGAAAATTTATCTCTTCCTGGGGTGAGATCATGGACAAAAAACATGTATATCCAAAGACATGAAGTGGGACGAGATAAAGGTCATGTTGTGGATACAAGATGGTGTGTTGAATTTGATTGTTGAGAACAAAGGAGGGAATGCAATTAATCTAGTAACATGCAGTGAGAATCGCATCGCCCCAAAAGTGAAGTGGAACTTTATGATGAAAGAGAAGAGTACTAGCTATCTCAACCAAATGATGGTTTTTGTGCTTAGCAACACCATTTAGTTGTGGTGTATGAGTAGAAATGGTCTGATGAAGAATGCCCTATGAGGAGTGAAAAGATTGGAATTCGGAAGACAAATATTCTTTGGCATTATCAATGTGCAAAATTTTAATTGACGTCCCAAACTGAGTAGCATGTTGAGTGGAAAAACTTTGAAAAATATTGAAAGCATCATAACGGTGTTTTATTAAGAAAACCCAAGTGCAATGTGAAAAGTTATCATTAAATGCAACAAAGCAGGGATAACCTAAAGTTGAACTGCCTCTATTAGGTCCCCAAATATCAAAATGAACTAGAGTAAAAGGTGATGTAGCACATTTGTTGACACTAGATCTATAGGAATGACAAACATGTTTCTTTAACTGACATGACTCACACTGGATGGTTATAATCGAAGAAAAATTAGGAACTAAAAGACGCAATTTCTCCAAATTGGGGTGATCAAGATGCTAATGAGCAAGATCGGTAGAAGTGGAGACACGAGCGACCATTGATGAAAGATGATACAATCTCCCAGACTCATGTCCTGCTCCATTCATCCGTTCGGTATGCCGATCTTGAACAAGAATATAATTATTAGTAGGAGAGGCAGCATTGGTCACTTGGGCAATGTCGTTAAACGTCGTGGATGAAGCAAAAGCGAGTAGCCATGGGAGATGAGGTAGAGAGGGACTGAAACCAAACAGGGCCAAGTAGAGGCCAAACAAAGCCAAACAAGGTTTCAAAGGCAGTCGACTATAATCAAGGGGTTGTTGTTGAAAAACGATGTGATGTGTAGGTCATGCTATGATACTGTTCACGTACAGTATTACTCACGTGATGGTACTGTTCACACGCAGAGGTACTGTTCACGCGTGGGTACTATTCATGTGCAGCACTATTCACATGGTAAAAAAAATATATTATAAGCTCTAGATATCATGTTGTAATTTAGGAATTGTGTCAATCTTCAGCACACATAACTCTTATTTATAATGATAAAATAAGAACTTACATGATATGATATGATTAACTAATATCTGGTGTTATTTTTAATATATTGGAGATTATGTTGAATTTTATATTTTTATTTAATTTGATTTAGTTTGACTAGGGACTCTATAACAACTCATTGACCTAGTACTTTGATTGTGATAAATGATGATATTTTTATGACACATAACAAAGGCGATACATTTAAAGATTGTTATAGGAAGTATGACTTGTCTTCTCTATCATTGGGTCGACCTACTACAAATTTGAGATAACCCTTCCCGTTGATTGCTATTGCTATTAGTTAGAAGAAAAGAAAGAGAGAATTCATAAACTGAATATTATTGATGAAGATTTATCAAAATGAATTCATACTATGCTCAGACTTGTTTACACATGCATGCGCGCGCGTATACACACACACACATATATATATATACACACACGCACATACATACAGGTGCTAAGATTAGTTAGTGTAACAACCACTATAAATCATTCAAACTAAGCGTAACATTGACAAACTAATATTCTCACAATTGCTAATATCTAACCATTCAAACTAATATCTAACCAACTATAAATCATTAAATCTTTACACCAAAATGACAAATAACAGAAAAATATACACAGAAATTATATTCTCACAATTGCTATTCAAGTATTCATGGTATTTTGTTACACATTGTTTTCAGAAGAGTGCGTTACATGCAGAACAGCAATTCTTACATGGAAGGACAAAACTCAGGTTTGCAACATTGATTTTGTATTTATGCATCGATAACAGTTATTTATAAATATTTATAATTCATAACAGACAAGCAGGAAAGCAGATCAGGAGTGTGATTCACTCAGCATATAAAATTGAAAGACGAGCAGGAGGTATGCAATAGATTATAATTTCTTTTACAAGAAAAAAATGTTGCCAGACAATGAAGTAAGTTGGTGCTTGGACCTTGTGCTTTTGATGATTTGGCTTGTTTTTGGTATGTTAGGTTTAAAAGATATCCTCGGAGAACTCCCCAAAAGAGAAGCTTCTCACTTCCGATCACAGGTGATTTTTTTATTTTTTATTTTGGCACAATCCCATCTCTCATTGCCTAGGTTTAGATCAAAGTTTTCAAGAGTTAACCCATAAAATAGCATCATGAAAAATGTAAAATTTTCTACTTATGGAATAATTGGTAGCTATTATAAATAATAGTTTAATACAGAGTTACTAGATCCAACCTAGGCATTAGTTTAATTAGGGAATTAGGTGTAATTAGCCTTGTGATATTATCGAGGTCTGTTCAGATTTGTGTTATTTCCTTGTTTATTAAGATCGATTACTCGTACACATTTAGATTAAAAAACATGCTTTACATACATAAACTAATATGTAACCTAATCCCAATACCATGGGATTTATTTAAATATATTTATAATATAAATTGAAGGGGCTGAGAGACAATCTTGAAACATTTATTTCTCAATCATATTTTGATTCTTAAGTTAGTATCTATTAGAGAAGAGATTATATTAATAAATACCTTTATTAGTTCTGTTTTAATATTGCATATCTTTTCTGTATCTTTTCTGTTTTTCTGTTTACTGTTACCAACTCATCAAGTTGGCTAGATTGTTAGGTCTATATATGTAAGTGATATCCCACAGATATCATTATCTTATTTTCTAATCATAATACAGTCTATTGATTTTCTCTCAACTCTCTCTCTCATATGGTATCATCGTGAGCACGGTGAGATCCGGGTTTCTTCTCTCCCAGTTTGTGTGGCTTTGCCTTTCGCGCCCTCTTTGCGCGCTGCCTCTGTATCTCGCGCCTCCTTCGCGCGTTCTGTTTGGTGATTCGCGCGATTCCCTGTTTGCTCGCGTCCTCTCTGTTCGACTTCGCAGCGCTGCTTCGTTTGATTTCTGCTCGCACTGGTCTTGCGCGTCTTCTTGTGATCTTTCTCTCTGATTTGCTCCAATGGCCTCCGCTTCCGCAACCTCCAACAATTCTGTCTCGCACACCTTCTCGCAATCTGTCACATGCAAACTGGATGACAGGAATTTTTTAACTTGGCAGCAACAGGTTAACGCGGTAATTCGCGCACACGATCTGGAACGATTTGTTGTCAATCCCAAAATCCCGCTGAAGTTTCTTACTGCTGAGGATCGTGATGCCAATGCCATCAATCCCGAATACACTGTCTGGGATCGCAAGGATTCTCTGCTGTTTTCCTGGCTTCTCACAACACTCTCCGAACCAATTCAGGCTCGTGTTGTCTCATGTCGTCATTCATATCAGATTTGGGACATGGTGTTTCAGCATTTTCAGTCACTCACCAAAATCAAAGCCACACAGTTACGTTTAGAGCTTCGCACCATCAAGAAAGGCACAAGATCGTGTTCAGATTATCTCCTTCGCATCAGTACTATTGTTGAGACTCTTGCTTCGATTGGCAGTCCCGTTTCGCCTAGAGAACATGCTGAGTGCATTCTTGGTGGTCTCCCACCTGAATATGACTCTCTGATTTCAACTGTCACTGCGTTTATCAGCCGTGATGACATCCTTTCTCCTACTGAAATTGAGAACATGATTCTTGCTCAGGAAGCAAGACTTGAACAAGCAAAAGCTGCTGTCGTCCAAGAACCCCTATCCATCAATCTTGCTCAAGCCACTTCTGTCCCAACTGGTGTTCCTAACGTCAATTTGGCTTTCCAGCAACCCCAGATGTCAAACCTTTCACCTAATACTGTTCAGAATTTTTCACCTCAGCCCCAAGCTGGCTTCAATAATCATGGAGGACGTGGTCGTGGATCTCGTGGAGGACGAAATCGTGGGTCCACTGTTCAATGCCAAATTTGTCACAAACGTGGACATGAAGCCTCCACGTGCTATCGGCTTTCCCATAGTCTATCCATGGGTGGTTTTCGGTTGCCTTTTCATTCTTTGTTTACTCCTTACCCCACCTATGGTCCCATTTCTCAATCTGGGTATGTGCCTCAACACCCTGGTCCTAGGGCTGCTCCATACTATGGAACTGTTAATATGCTTGGACAG